GCCTTTCTGCCTAGGGCAGTAAAGGCTGACAGAGCTTGCCAGGGATCCAGATGCCCAGCCTCACTCCATGGCACTTAGATCTGCACCCATTCCCCTACCTCTCACTCCCAGCTGGAGCCTGAGAGATGCTGTGACGGCAGCACCCATTTCCCAATTTTTTAAATTCTTTTCCTTCCCATGCAGTCTGACAGCCTTGACTAGGGTCAGAGTTCCACAGCAAACATCTCAGTATCTTCCCCCAGGAACACTGAGGTCCCCAGCTCATGACACACCCCAGCCCTCCAAGCCCTGAGCTGAAGCGACAGCAAAGGCAAGAAGTTAGATGAAAAAAAAGCTTTTGCCTACCTCCTCTCATCCTCTGCCTCAGCTCTGACTGGCTGTCAGCAGACACAATGATGCTAGGGCATAGCCCTTCCCTCTGCCAAATCTCTCTATGCCCCTAAAACCACCCGGACTTGAACCCAAAGACTAATCCAAAGTCATTACTTTTACCTCCGATCCCCCTGCTCTGACCATTGGAATTTTTTCATAACTGTATATAGTCTAGCTGACCCTCTGAGCCCAAACCCACCCTCAGGTTCAGGCCAGGAAAGCTGAATCCAGCTGGCTGGGGAGCTACTGTAACATCTGGAAGACTGTCCCCAGTAGCAAGAAGGTATCTAACAAGGCCGCTGGGAAAGTAGGGACAGGAAAGAGGCAATAACATGGGAGTTTGGGATCTCAATTTCTTTGAGCGGGATGGGGGTGGGGGAGAGGCCATGTTTTGCATCAGTATCTCAAGAAATCGGCGTGGGTGGGGCAAAGAAGGGCAGAGCAAGAGGGATAACTCAGTGAGGGACTTCTCATTTAGATGCCGCCTCCAACCCTGAGCTCAGAATCAGGAGCCCCAGGGTCCAGCTCCAGCTGTCACTCACTTGGGTGTGTTACTTTCTTCTCTCTGTGCTTCTACATTTGTAAAATGAAGGGTTCACAGTGAACATGGAGACCTCCTCCATCCCAGCGGGGAAGCAGAGGAGAACACACGGAGGAAAAGCAAAACCAGCAGAAGGTATCAGGCTTCATCCAGGGTGGACGAATCTCCCCCTCCCCAGGACACAGCAAAGGAAGGTGTGGGTGTCCCTAGGGCATAGCCTGCTGCCCTTGTGCCAGGAGAGTGCATGCACACACACACACACATACACACACACACACACACACACACACACTCCTCACTGCCCCAGCCAGCCCTCTCTCCAAGGGGGTGAGGGTGGTGTCCTGAGGTGAGAAGTCTATAGCTCAGAAAGGCCAGAGCTGACGGGATTAGCAAAAAATCCTGGGTTGTTCTGTGCAGGGATAACACGTGTCAGCTTCACAGTTGCTTAGCAGCACCCTACCCACACTGCCCCCTTGCCCTTACCAGCCCCTCCTCACATATACTGATCCCTTCTCCCAGGGAAGCTAGGACCCTGTCTCTGCCCTTGGCAAGCAGGGGAGGGGCTCTAGAGTCGCGGGGGGGCCGGGGGGGGAGGGGCAGAGAGGTCAGAGGCACCCACAATGGACAGCCCTGCCCACAGAACCCTGCCAGGAGCCCCTAGGTACAACACTGAACAGAGGAGAGGGACAATGAAGTCTTCCTTGCCCAACCCCTGTGGCTCTGCCCAAGGTGGCCGTGGCCATGGCCTTGGCCTGGAATTACCTTGTCTTTAGGCCACCCAGGCCGGTCCCTCCAGATGGCTCCTGTCCTTGGAGAGATAGAGGCAGAAGAGTCAGATGGAGCCCCCACAGCTGGGAATCCTCAGCCCCAGCTTCCTGGAAAATGTGTTCCTGAAGCCCCCCAGCTGTTAGCAACCTTGCCATCCACAAACCCCTCCCCCCACAAAGCTCCTTGCTCCAGGCCACCTCTGTCCACCCCCCAACCTGAGCAGGGACTGAAGGAGAAGGCCCCAGCACACCTCCCTACGCCCCAGAACCATCCAGGCCCCTGGCTCTGTCCTAAAACAGGACCCACACTTCCATCCCTGCCTCAAAAGGAAGGTCACCATGGGGAATCTTACTCAAAGCCCTCCAGAGGCAGGCTTCAAGAAGTGGAGGGGAGGCTGAAGAAACCAAAGGCCAAGTTGTGAGTTTCTGTCACAATGCTTCTCCTCCGCCTCCCAATGGAATGGGCAGTGCTGGAGCACCACGGAGTTGGGCCTTAGTACCAGGTAGGGCTGAAGCAAAGTAGGGCTGGCATGGGTGCAGAGAAGAAAAGCTCAAAGTACACTGCGGCTCCTCCAGACTCCTCTTCCATCCGCCCTACCTCCCCCGCTCCCACAGTTACACAGTGACATCTGTTCTAGGAAAAAAAAACTGGAGGGGGAGGTGGCCACTGAAGGAGAGTCGATTGGGGAAGTGAAGGGCAGTAATCTTCCCTCAGATGTCTGCATACCTGGGGCAGCTGCAGGCCCCACCCCGGGAGTTCCAGAGCCGGGAGCCAGAGGCGCTGAAGAGCTGCTTCTCCGGCTGCGCCCTTCAGTACAGAGGTGACCACTGCCTGCCCCTCCCCCTCCCCCTATCGCACCTGTGCGGCCCACCGGTCTCAGTCTTGGTGAAGGGACCCGAGCCTTCGCTCCGCGGCAGCCGTCGGCATATTCCTGGCCGCAAGGGAACCCGGAGCCACCACCCTGCAGTCGGGCGCCGAGTCTGAGGGCCACCTGGACGCTGCGACCCTTGAGTGTAGCCAGGCGCCTAGGAGTCATGGTCCTCGTCGCTGCTGGCGCCGCTGGGTTCCGCCTCACCGGACGCACGCCGCTCACGGGCCAGCAGTGCAGTCAGGCCCTGGGCGCGGAGGAGAAGGCTGCCACCCAAGAACAGGACCCCACAGAGTACGAGGAGCGACAGCACGCCCAGCACCGCCGCCTGCACGACGCGCGGCCCCTCGGAGGGCTCCGGCTGACCCCCGGACTGGTTGCAGCAGGAGCTCAGCCAGGAGGCTCCGGCTCCGGGGCTCGCCTGAGAGCCGTTCATGCTACAGGGTTCGGCTGACCAGATGTGCCCAAATGTGTGCGGACCGACAGATGTGCTGGAGCTCCTGCTGGCGGGCTGGTGGGCGGGCACCACTGCGTTGGGGAGGGACCTAGGGGAGGATCCCAGGCGCCTTAGGCCCCCACCCCTTGCGCAGAGTACTCAGGCCTTTCCTAGACAAAGGGCTCCTCCAGTGTGCACTATGGCCCAGACTTCCAGGCCCGGAGTATATCCTCTTGTCCCAGAGACCCACACACCCACATATGGGAAACCCGCCCATGCACCCAACCAGTCAAACCTAGGAATCCTGTCCCAGAGGCTTCCCTCCTCCTTGGTAAAGGAAGTCAAGAGATACCATCTCCCTTAGAATCCTGAAAAGGTTTTCCGAACCCCACCCTAGGTGCTAGTTGGGGTGCTGCCCTCACTGAACAGGACACGGGACAAGCAAGGGCCATCCGCATTCCTGGGCTTTCTGCCCTTGGGCCAAAGCTCAGCACTGCTAGGTGGCCCAGGTGTCTACTGGAACAGGTGACAAATGAGCAGCCTCCAAGACCTGAATGATGAATATCCTTCCTCATCCATCATCCCCTTTGGGAGCCTCCTGGGGCCCGACAAGGCCAGTGCCTCCTTGGCCCCATGGCGGGGAGACAGGGAGAGTAGAGAGACTTCAAGGCCTATCCCCATCTCTTTGCTCAGGCCCCGGAGCTCAAGGAAAGTTAGACCAATGGAAAAGTACAGATTCGAGTCACCAGGGCTCCAGTCCTGACCTTAACTAAATCAGTCCACTACCTCTGGAAAATCACAATGCCAAAAGGAATGGAGATGTTACTGTCCTGTCCACCAAAGGGAGCTCACTTCCAGCTGGGTGTCCCATGGCCAAGGTGGGAAAGTGGAGAAAAGGAGAAAGTCAGGTGAAGCTGGGATGAAGGGAAGACCCTCCTGCCCAGGTCTCCTGAAAACTCCTTGTAGCATCTTTGAGCTCTTTAAAATAAAATCACTGCTAGCAAACACCTGTATTAGCCAATCCCTCAGAAGAGATTAGTTGATGGCCAGCTAGGAGGAAAATGCCCCCCAGACCACAGCAAGCCAGGTAGAGGTCACTCGCCATCAAGAACTTGCTGGGAATGGGCCTTCCCCATCTCCAAACCCCTGAGAACCTTGAGTTCTCCGATTCCCCAGAGATCAAAGGTAGGACATCAGAAAACCTGTCATGAAATATCACGTGGCCAATGGCGGCTTGGAATGAGAAAATGTGCAAACACTTCCTGGTCATCCTGGCTATCTACCTGCTCCAAGACCATGGGCAAGACCTCCCCACCCCAACCATTTCTCCACTAGCACCCCTCCCTACACATAGTTCATTTATTCTTTTAGAACTGACTCAGGATGTAACCAAAAAGTATTGTAAAGTATGGAATAAATCAATTAAAAGCGCACAGTGGAGTTCAGATTTTGAGTATGCGTGTGTAGAAATGAGTTTGAGATGCCGAAGCAAAGTCCTAACAACCAGAAAGAAAAAGCCCAACCTGGAAGAAGTGTCACCAGATACCAGTCTCAAGCTGGCCTGTCACTCTCCAGAGAAAGAAACCCCTATCAAATGAGCTTTCTGGTGCATATGGGGGCCCGTGTGTGCTCTAGGAAGACAGAGAAGACATTCTTCAGGGCCATCATAAAGCAAGACTACATAATATAAAGGTATGTTATAGCTTCCTTAGGAAGGGAGGAGAAATAACACGGTCATATCTAAAAGCAACAGATCCTGATTTGTGTCTTCATTCAAGGGACTGACCATGGTCACACCTGGTTGGACATTCACATAAGCTGGTGAATGTCCGACATTCACCAGCTTATGTGAATGTCCAACAAAGTACAAATCGGTCAGCTTTAATTTATCTTTAATGCCATCTACCCACTCCCCTCACCTTGGAATAATGCCCTCAACACACACCTGTGTCCTCACAGGTCTGCCAGAAAGTGTTAATGTTTCAGGGCAGAACACAAAGCAAGAGAGAGATGGCTCAACCTAAACTCACAGTCTCAACTTTATTCGCCATCCTAGTGATGGCACTTCTGTACAACGAAGGAAGGGGGACCCCACCAGGGGTGTGGTGAGACAGTGTAAGCCGGACTTGACCATCAGTGAAGGTTACAAGGATGACCAGAGACTGGCAACCACAAACCAAGGAAGCCAGGGGCTGGCCCTTCCAAGTCCATCAAGGACCCAGGGCAGGTTCCAGAGCCCCAAGAGTACAGTACAATCCCCAGAAGCCAAGGTCTGCGAGCCATCAAGGCCCCAGCAAGGCCTAGAGGGCCAAAGTATCTTTGATGAGCCTCCGCATGGTGGTGGTGACTGAGGTTCCCAGGGCATCAGTGATTTGGAAGGAGATTTTGTAGAGGTAGGGCTGCACGTCCCGCAAGCCTGTGTCAAACACGTTGTCCACCTCTGACTGCGTGGGCATCTTGGGCAGGTACTCATGCCGGTTCATCACCTCCACAATGTTGATGATCTTCTCGCAGAGCTTCTCACCCACTTTCTCCCGGCAGATTTGCCGCTCCTGCTCCGTGGCCAGGGCTACCACATGCACCTTGACTGTCCACACTTCCCAGGGGATGCACTCATCTGAGAAAGGCCAGCGAGACTTCTTCTTCTGGTAGAACTCCAAAGACATCTGCCCCAGCCCATCACCACCAGAGTTGCGCAGTGCATCCTGAGGAAGAAGGGGTAACAGATGAGTAGGCCAAGACAGGAGTTCTCGCCCTGTGAGTGCCTGCTCCCTATGCCTCAGGGAATAACGCTCTCCTAGCTCTATTACTTCTTCAAAGAGGGCATGGAATAAATTTAGAAAGGGTAAAGGGATTTGGGTGATGTGACACAACAAACTATCTGCCTAAAATTGAGTGGTTCAAGCAAAACAACAAAATCTGTCTCCTAGCCCAATTCCTCCAGCTTCGTTCAGAACTGATGTTTTTTTAAGCACGTATTCTGGGCCAGGTACATTATACAGACAATCCCACTCACTCCTCTCAACAATTCTGGGAGGTAGAATTACCTCCAATTTATGGAGGCAAAATAGGGCTCAGAGTTAACTTATCTTGCCAAAAGTCACAGGCCAGTGAATGGCTGCGCCAGGGTTTGACTCCAGATTGTCTGATTGCGACATGCCTGTTTTTCATCTTTACACAAGGGAATCTTCCTCCTTCCACAACCCCACTCCCGTGGCCCCCATCCTTCAAAACGTTCTCCAATGTCTCCTTCTCCCCAGGCAAACCCTATTTGCCTTTTCCACTGCCAATTAAGCAATTTTTCTTTTTCATTCATTCAATAACAACCTAAACTCATAGTCTCTACAGAAAAGGAAGGGGGCAAGAGTATAAAGCCCAATGATCCTTGGACCCTTGATTAGAAAGAAGGAAGCCAAGGAAGAGAAGGGGAAAGGGAGAGGAAGGACAAACCAGACTTGGCTGCTTCTCTCTCTTCTCCTCTGAGAAGCAAATGTGACCACCAGGCCCAATAATTCTGCCTATGCCCCTTCCTACTCCCATGGTGTGTGGTGGCCCCACACTCCTCCTAGGGCAGCCGGGACCCTACAGCACCTTTCCATCTGAGTGAGAAGATCCAACCCAGAGAATAAAAGTCCTTCCCTCAAGTCCTGAACCACTCATAAGGAAAAAAGTCTCTCCTTCACGGACAAACTAAGGTCACATGACCTTGGCCAACAGTAACAATGGCTAACACCTCTATAGTGCTTCCTGTGTGCCAAGCTGTTTCAAGCATTTGATATATTTGACTCATTTATTCTTCACAGTACATACACCTTTGAGATGGGTCTAATTATCATTCCAATTTCATATACAAGGAAACTGAGGCCCAGAGGAGTGGGAGCCTGGCTCCAGAGTCTGTGTTCTTAACCACTATGCTCTACGTGAGGACCGCTGCCTTCCCTGAAGGCGGACTGGGAAACTCCTATGAACTCGCTCTTTCTGGGCTCGGAGGAACTAGGGAAGGGAAAGCTGTGGCCCGGGAGGGTGTCCACACAGTGCCCGGCACAGCGCAGGGGTTCTCCGAGCGTCTGAGAAACGGAAGTCAGAGAGACAACCCTCCTCCTCTGACCCCAGAGTTGCTATCTTTAAAATAAAATTCCCTTTGTTACTTTAAAATTTAAAAACACACACTTATAGAAACGGTGAAAAACTGTAACCTTGAATAAAGACAAAATTAAAAATTACACCCTCATTCCCAACTCCTGAGGTGACCACCATTAGCAGGCTGGTATGTCCCTTCCACCTTTCTCCATGCCTACACAGGCATATAAAAACGTGTGCCACACTGCCCAAAGGGATGCTCCACTTGGATGACAATGACCTGAGCCTAGCAACCCTCCCTCTCAGGCAGCTTCATATGGGAAAGGCAAACGTAGAAGCAGAGAGAAGGTACCAGCAGAGAGAGCTGTGGAGTCAGAGAGAGAAGGTCAAGACCACGGGAGCAATGATGAGCCTAGGGGACCTGACTGCCAATTCGGTGAGGGCTTCCTGCTCTCCTTCTTCCCTGGTAGTTTTATGAGCTCCCTCTGCTCCACCACCATGCCCCACACACAAGCCCTCCACACCCCGCAAGGGGCTGTGAAGACGCCTGTTCCTTAGACCCTGAAAGAACCCACACATACACCCAGGAAAGGTAAGACAGTCCAACAGCAAGCTGGGGTAGAGGGGCATTCGAGGTCCACTTGCCGCCGACTGTGCCACAGCCTACCTTGAATTCCCCAACAACCTTGCGCAGTGCACGGTCCAGCTCCTCAGAGGAGACGCGCACATAGGTGAAGTCGATGAAATCACAGTCGACATCCTGGGTGCCCACGGTGCCGATGGAGTAGGTACCCTCCTTCTTGTAGTGGAACTTGCCCGTGCTTCGGTGCAGGAGCACGGTGTGCAGCACGGCCAGCATGGCCTCCTCCACCTGCCGCCCCTCCACCGACACCTCCAGGACCTCCGAGCGACAGTTCATCCTGCAGCTAGTGGCCCACACCAGGATGGGGGACAGGATGAAAGACAGGGGCGCTTCACCCCACCCAGGAGCTGCCCTGCAAGGGGAGCCAGGTCAGAATGCTGATACCTTCTGAATCATCCGTATGTGACCTGTTCACTTACTTCCAGGCCCAGCCCAGTCCCTGCCTCCATAGCCCTTCTCTGCATTTCAGCAGCACATACTATAAGAGAATCCTAGACTTTGAGGATCAGTAAGGGGGAGAGCCTCAAAGTTACCAGGCCAAACCACCACCCAAGGCTTGAATTCCAGTATGGTACTCAGGGCAGCTTACAGCACACGCTTGCTGTGCAACACCTGTCAGGCACTGACCGTTCAAAGACAAGCATGGCCCCTGCTCTTGAGAAGCTACTCGGATTGCAGATAAACATTACCATACTAGTGAGAGTGCAAGATGAGAGTAAGAAATGGAAGACTGGATGGAGTCTGATTTCCTGGGACCTTGCATGACCAGGTTAAGGCATTTGTACTCTGTCTTGAGGGCAGTAAAAAGTCAATGCATCGCTAGGCCTAGATCAAATCTGTGTATCGGAAAGTTAAATCTGGCTAATGGGCAAAGAATGGCTCTTCAATATTTTGGGGTCACAAATTGCTCTGAGAATTCGATGAAAGCTAAGAAGACTGGACTTTAAAACCTGACTGACCATGCACATACACACCAAATCTCACATACTTCCAGGACCATCCACAGACTCTGAGGTAAAAACTTGCCAATTTAAGGCAGAAAGGCTGGGCAAGGAGTCCAGTGAGAAGCCATTATAGTAGTGGCAGTTACAGAGGCAGCACAATGGATGTGGGAGGAATAAAGTACAGAGTGTGGGGGTTTTCATGTCCAGCTCTCCCATACCTTGCTGTGACCTGAAGCAAATCACACAACCTCTCTGTTTTCTTACTTGTAAATCTGGATTGTTGTAAGAATTAAATAACACATGCAAAACATAGAATAATGGTTAAGAACAGTGATACTAAAGCCAGACAGCCTGGGTTGGAACCCCAAGGCTCTGCCAACTGCTCACTGTGTGCTCTTGGGCAAGCTGCTTAATTCCTATGTACCTCAGTTTCCCAAATCTATAAAAAGGGGACATTAACGATAGCTACCTTGAAAGGATTATATGGAGAAGTGGATGAGTTAGCATCTCTAAAGCACTTAAAGCAGTACCTGGCAAGTAGTAAACACTCAGTATTAGCTGCTATAATTACTGTAGTTTCTGCTGAGAGATTACGCAAGGTTACATGACTGCAATGGTGGAGGGAGTGGGAAGAAAAGGACAGACTTGAGAACTAGAATTTAGTTAAGCAACTGAACATGAGGCCAGAGAGGAAACATTCAGGTTTCTCACTGAGAGTGTTTAGCTTACAAGCCTACCCTTCCAGGGAATTCACTACCTCTCGCAGCAGACCATTACATCTTTAAGACGGTTCTATTTAGTTATTCCTACTACTGAAGGAATCTCTCTTAGTCTTCAAACCACTAGTCTTAGTTTTGATATCAGGAGCCATACAGAATGTCATCCTTTTTCCACAAACAACTCTTTCAGATATTTAGAGGTAATTCTTCCATTACCCCGTGACCCCTTCTACAGGTTAAAGGTCTCCAGCCACCATAAACATGCCAGCTCGATGTCACTGATCTCCTCTGGGTCCTGACAGCTCTCTTCTAAGTTTATTTCAGTTTGTCTCTATCCCTCTTAAATAGTAATATTCATCACTGAAAACACAGGACAGCAGCCAGACATCAAGCTGGCTCTGCCTCTCACTTGGCAATCGGTCTGGGTCCACCTGTACTAGCAGTCATCTTTTCACAGGTCTTATACTGTCCGGTGTCTCCCACTAAGCAGACAGTTCCTTAAAGACAGGGACTGTATCCTATTCATCACTGAAACCTCAGTACCTGGAACCCAGCACAATGTTACTGCTCAGTCCATCCTGACCCAGGAATTCCAGGTCTTTCCAAGGGTTGCTGGATTGGTTTCTCCTGCACTCTTAGATCAAGGATTAGCAGGCTCTCTTGTTCATTTTTGCCCTCTAGTTTAACTCCATCCAGCAGTTTCCTATCTAGGGCTCCCAGCTCTGGTCCAGCTCCCCTTTCTTACATAATTTCCCCCTCTGGTGTCCCCCACAAACCTTCAGACAGGCCACACACCTCTTCACTTTCGCCCCCAACCCAGGTTCTTCCCTCGTTCTCAGCGCTACTCTAGGCTCCACTCATCCAGGAAATCAGCTTCCTTCCCAAAGCAGCCACCTTTGGTCTGTGATAAGCTTGTCTGTTTGTTTCCTCACCCTCACCCCCGCCTCCAGTGAGCAAGTTCTCCAAAGCAGGGCCTGAGAAGTCTCGTCCCTTGGTACCCCCCAAGGCCCAGGTCTGCAGAGCAAAGGGGCAGAGGCTGACAGATGCCTTCTCAGAGCCAGGCTGGAGACCAGAGCACCCTCATACCCACCTTTCGCGAACAGGCCGACGCGCGTCACTCAGGCTTTGATCATCCCCTTCCTGCTCCTCCTGACAACTAGGTACGATCTCCGCAGAGCCTCCCCAACCTCTGCGCGGGCGATCGAGCGCAAGAGATGGACTAAAAGCAAAAACAGAAAGCATTCGGCTCGGCATCAAGAGACTCAGGCGGGACGCAGGAAAGACTTCCAGCCCGGGTCCCGTTTTGCCCAGCACCACTCTCCGAGAACCTCCAGTTTGGGGACCAGGGAAGGAGCTGACTCCGCTCCGCAGAGGTCTCGGGGGCGGCGCCCCGCGCCCCGCCTCGGAAGTTCGAGGCACTCCCTCCCTCCCGCCGTCTCAGGGAGCGCCCGCGCTCGCCCAGGAGAAGGGGGCAGGCAGTTAGAACTGTCCCCTACCTCCCCGAACGCGGGAGTCACGTAGCCACGCTGCCCGCGGCGCGCCAGACCACCACGGTAGGAGGTGACACCTGCCCCGGAAGCCCGCGCCCCGCCCCTCCGAACCAGACGGCTCCACCTGCTCCAGCGGCCACCGACCGGGTCAAGCACGGCTGTCCGAGCCTTGACGCCAGTGCAGCTTCACAGATCGTTTTATATTCACGTGAGAGGACAAATATAGTCATATACTGCTCTGTAATTTTTATGCTACCTTGTTCTTGATTATCTCTAGGATTTTAAAATTTGATGGTGAGAAGGATCCCCCTCTGTTGGAAGAGTCCATTCACTCCCACCACCGAGAATGTTGTTGTGTTTCGGCTGGAACAACTCACTTCCGCCATAGAGACGAGAGGCAAGGAGAGGCCTATAAGCTCTGTGCTGCCTCCCTAGGCTGAGAGGAGTCATCCACGGCGAGCCCGCCCTTAGGGCGGAGACATGCAGGACTCAGAGGCCTGGGCGGGTCACCCATCCCCCTAGAAGAGGGGCATGCCACGTGGAGAGGTGCCCTGGAGATGAGCCCAGGCCAACGTGCTGCATGACGCTGAGTGGATGGCAAAACTTTATCTAGTGCATAACAGATAGGATTCCTGAACCCACAAAAGTGCTAGAGAAAGGAGCTTAACCTCGAGGACTCAGTTATCTTCATACAGAAGCGCAACTTGGTACTTTACCTTGACCGGTCTGGTGACAGTTCTTGTAAGGCTTGTGATTCGGCCATCACCTCTGTGTGTTCCTCTTAACTCCTTCATCCTTTCTGATCTCTAAACAGGAGCCGTTGTGAGATCACGAGATAATTCACATGAAACACCTTTGCGCACTGTACAGTGTTATACGAATATGAGTGCGTTTTTACTGCTGTGTAACTTCCTGGGAGCATGTTTGGTTTTCCGTGTAGATTGTAAGCCCGGGGCAGACAGGGATTTGTCAATTACTCTGTTAATGCCCACAGAACCTGACATGCCCCAACCCCAACAGGAAGCACTCCTGAGTTGTTTACTTGGGGATTAAGATGCTCATTTTCCTAACACACACTTTCCCAAAATAATAATACATAACCTTTATTGAGTAGAATGGAAAGGGCATGATTCTAAGTGGTTTATATGTTGATTAATACTACAAGAAAGATAAAGAAATCGATGTTGGGAGAGGCTAAGTAACTTACCCAAGGTCACTAGGTAAATGGCAGAGTCTGGGGTTCAAATGCAGAATTCCTTACCACGACAAAAATTCTCTGGTTTCTCCATCCTGACCCTCCCGCACACTACTACCCTCCAGTACACTGTCCCCAACACCTGTCTCTAGTGGGGAAATGCCTTGATAGTAGCGTTTGCCAGTTTTCTACCCTGGCCGATTTCAAGCTACAGGACATCACTGAATGCAGAATCCAGAATGAATGAACGGTTATATTTTGATTATCAAAGGTACAATTGGTTCTAGAGTAGCAGTACCAGCTGGCTCCAGCATACAACTGTCACCTACCTGCCCTTTAGACTTCCCTTCTCCCACTCAGTTCTTCCAAAACCCCCTACCTTACCCCCAATTCTGGCTGACCTCCCTGCCCCATCTGTTCCCTATCTCCTTCCTTCCTCCCCGTAATTTTGCCCTTGTGCCCTTGGGCCCTTGGTCTGGTTCACCTCTGTCTCAGGTGCTGATACCTCTCCCCTGGCAGACTTAGAGTACCCCCAGAGCCTGGGGAAGGAGAAAGCTGCCGACTTTACAGACCAGAAACTGTTTCTGGAGTCTGGACTTAACGTGGAGGGAATCAGGATAAAATATTAAGAGGAGAGGGTCTTTGAGGAGCCAAAGGGGGAGGTTAAATCCCCAAGAGAGAAATCAGAGCCTAACTCCCAGAGACTGCAGTGACTGAGAGTAGTGACTGACCTCTCTCTACTCCCTGACACACTCTGGCTTAGGGCCCTTCAATGCCACTATCCTGACATCATTGTCATCCCTACTACCAGTCACTGAGCCTACTAGGCACCATGCCAACACTTCATGTGCACTGTTGTGTTGATTTCTCCAACTACTTTTGAAGGTAAATACAATTCCCCCTCAATTTACATAGAATGATACTGAGGCTCAGGAATATGTAGTGACTTACTTTAATGGCTAATTTTATGTGTCAACTTGACTGTGCCACAGAATGCCCAGACATTTGGTCAAATGTTATTCTGGGTGTGTCTGTGAGGGTGTTTCTGGATGAGATTAAGATTTGAACCCAGTAGACTGAGTAAAGCAGATTGCCTTCCCTAATGAGGGTGGGCCTCATGGAATCATCCTAAATAGAATGAAAGGGCTGATCCTCCCACGAGTAGGGGGAACTCCTCCTACATGACTGCTTTCAAGTTGGGATGTTAATTTTTTTCCTCCCTTCATAATCAAATTGAAATATCTGCTCTTTCTGGTCTCGAGGCTGCCAGCATCTGGAACTACATCATCAGCAATCCTGAGTCTCCAGCCTACTGACAGCAGATCTTGGGACTTGTCAGCTTCCATACTCACATGAGCCATTTCCTCATAAGAAATCTTTTTCTACATATATTGGTTCTGTTTCTCTGGAGAACCCTGACTCATACACTTGCCAAGGCCACACAGCTACTCTTTCCTCATTCTATTAGTCGTTTTACCCATTCTTGTCCCTATTCCAAAACTCACCCTGTCCATAGAGTCTTTTCTGCCTGAGGGTGAGACCGAGCCCTCTAACCTCTCTTGTCTCAGGCCTAGATGCTGGCCAAGGCTTGCCTCCTCTTACCTCCCTGAATCCTTACAGGGCAGTTCTCATTACACCTCAGGCTCTGCGTCCTACACCTACGTGGGTAGTCCTGTCAGGGAGGAAAGGTCTTGGCCAAAAAAGTGAGACCACGTGGGATGAATTCTCCCATCCTATGCCACTACTCCTGATGATCAAGACATAATCACTCACTCATTCCTTTATGCACACATATGTAACTGTCCACATGCCAGGCCCACGTCATACCAAGGTAGACATGTCACAACCTTGACCCTCTGGGAACTCAGCGTCTTACAGAGGAGATGCACCAGGAGATACACATGGGCAAGAGAACACGACAAGTGGTATGAAAGAAATGGCAGCAGATTTTGCAGGGCTAGAAGGGGCCAGGATGGAGGCGACTACCACCATTCTAGAAAGCTGTCTGTGGCTTGGATAGAAAATGACACAATCAGAGTAAAGAGGAGTCCCAAGCCATCCTCTTAGCAAGTTGAGAGGTGACTGGGCAGCAGAAAAAAACTGGGACAGCTGCAGAGAACACAGGATAGCAGCCTGCGAAGATGGATGGGAATGGGAGGTTGTTGATTCTGGGAAGAAATGGGGCTTCTGGGGAGGCTTCCTGGGGAAGAGGAAAGAAAAGAGGTTGGGGGAGAGATCTCACTGAGGGCTAAGGGTGGAAAATGAGAATTCTGAGGCAGGAGAGGCAAGGACTTCTCAGGCAGAGCTCAGAGCCATGGCAACTGGCTGAAGCCCTCAGAGCCAGGCTTGCAGCAAAGGCCTGTGGACAGACCTTGAAGGCCAACGGAAGACCTTGGGAGTAGGCAGCTGGCTTTGCATGATGAGTGTGGCCTCGGATGGCCCCACCCCATCCTAGTGCCTGTGGTGCCTGAGGGAGAGCTCAGCCCTGAAGCTGGCCCTGCAGGCCACCCCCAGCAGCTCCAGCGCTGACCCCTGTGGCGTCACGGGGAGTGACTCAAGCCCCAGCAACAACAATGAGTGGGACTGACGTCAGGCTGGGAGCTCCTGACGGTGACCAGCCGGCTGGGTAGCCAGCACCCTGCCTACTGACCCTCTACCCAGGTCAGGACTTGGGGGTGAGGTGGACCAGCTGTCCCCTTTTGACATTGCCCCCTAGGATCCTGGGCAGGGGCTCCGCTACCTCCCACCCTTTTTGGGATGTCGCTCCTGGCCTCGCCTCCTCCCAAGCAGAGGAAATGGCTGGGCGGATGACAGAGTGACAGAGAGCGTGAGAAAGAGGCACCTCCCAGCCCCAACCTCATGAGGCAGCCTCTAGACCTGTACTGGGCTGGGAGGTGGCATGTCTGCTGCCTGTTCTCCTAGGGGATGTGGGGATTTGTCCTCCTGTGTTAGAGAAGAGTGGTGGGTCTCTTTCTCTGGGAAGGTTTGTGTCTCCGGCCAAGTTGGGGTGGGACTTTATTTCTGTATTAATCCCATAAGGGTAAGGAGCCCTCTCTCTGTCCTGCCAAGTCTATACATCTGTTCCTTTTGGGAACACGTGTGTATCTGTTATTCTTTGGGGCGCAGGATTCTGTGTGACTGTCCTTGCAAAAGGAAAGTGCCGTTTACCTATCATGGTCAGGGAGTCTATCTGTCCCTGGGGGCTGCTTTTCTCTCCCAGGTTTTTCCTTGAGCCAGTGGCATCTCTGTATCTAAGCTCAGGGTATCTCAGTTACAAGAGATAGAGTCCAGGTCTTCTGCTTGGCTTTCCCCAAGACTGGGCTCCCTAGGTGGAGGCCCCTTCTCTCTGATGTCCCTGAGGGCAGGGACACTTAGCACCCCGCCCGCCTGGCATACAGCTGGGCACTGCTCTCTGCTAACACAGCATATACCAGGACAGCCACTGCACCACCACCCCCTCCCGAACTCCACTCCCTGGCTCAGTTGCCACCCCTCTGGCCCCGTGGCCATGCCTGAGTAGGGGCTGCATAGTGCCAGCGCCTGAGTCAGACTTTGAGGAGAACTCAAGTGGCAGGGTCAGAGTCCAGTAGGAAGCAAAGGGGAGCCAGGGTGCTGGGGAGGATGACTGGAGCATGGGCCAAGGGGTGGAGGGCAGGAGGCAGAGGCCAAGGTCGGAGCCTCCAGGGCCCCATAGCCCTCAGGCCTCTCTGAGTCTAGCTGAGGACCCTGGAATGTGCCTCCTGCCCTCAGAATGTCCCTGGCTGTGTGGGGAAGGAGATATTGGGGGGAGGGGGGAGCTTTTGCTCAGCTCTGCACTAACTCCTTCCTGCCCTCACCACAGGGAGCTGGAGGTTTCAAAGTCCCACTAGCGAGTCTGAACCTTACCCAGACAGACCCCTAGTCTGGGGCCAAGGCAGAGCCTGGCAGAAGCCTGAGCTTGGAGCAGGGGTGGAGGCAGAGGTTTGGGGCTGGGCTCCAGCTGCTCTAGGGAAGAGAGATCAGCCGCCAGCCGAGCAGTGGGGCTGCAAGGCCAGGCCTAGACAGGGCTGGAAAGTAGATGGATAGAGCCTCACCCCTTCAGCCCCATTTCTGAGGGGACGCCCAGCGGCCCTGGGGTCTCCGCTGCAGTCAGGAACTTGATGAAGGCTGGGGCTTGACTAGATTTAAGCTAAAACTTTCTGGGAATCCCCAGATCCCGCTTCACATGAGGGGATCCAGCACTGCCCTCAACCAGGATATGCCCAACATGGCTACCTCATGACCATGAAAAGACATCACTAACCACCTGCTGGCTGTCCAGCCACGACACAGTGGCCTCCCACCTCTGACAGTCTCTCTCACAGGCTTTCCTCTGCAGCCACAGAGCTGGTTGCCACACAGCCAAGTGCACTGGACACTCGGAGCCAACCATATGGAACGGTACGGCTCAAGTACAGTGTGGTTGCCCATGACCTTCAGAAGCTCCTCAGCCTCCTTGAGGCCGGCCCTCAGTACCTCCCTCCATAACCAAATCCTGGTATCTGGAGCCCAGGTGTGTGGCAGCTTCCTCCCTCCCAGGTCCCAAGAAAAGGCCATCAGGCTCAGACCACTGGGTATAGAGCACCCTTTCAGACCCTAAACCTCAAAGCCACACCCCACCCTAGTCACAGTGGCACCTCAGGGTTGAGAAGGGGGCTCAGGCCTCTGGGCATGGGGCCTAGCGTGGGTGGGGTGGGGGAGAGACAGGGGAGCAGGCTTCCTGGGTCTCCATGTGAGGACAAACGGTAGGCTTTGAGGCTTTGGAAAATCCCGCCCGGGATTCCAGGCCCTGCCAGCGTCACTGCCTTTTGACTATTGTCCCCATCGGAAATGGGCCCAGCCCCCGGCCAGCCAGGACAGAGCGACCATTGTGAAGCCCCACCAGGCTCAATGCCCCCTTGTTCGCCCTCCCAGCCCCTAGCAAGACTTGGAGGCCAGTTCTTCCAGTTGCTTGGTGGAAAGAAAGGGCCTGCCTCCAGGCTCCAGTCCTTGGGCGGGCCAGGGAGGGGCAGGGTGGGGCTAAAGAAATCAGCCGCCAACCCTGTACCCCAATAGCCAGAGTCTTGGAATAGAGTCACCATCCCTGGAGCTTCTTTTACTTTTGAGGCCCTGGGCAAGGAGACCTAATGGCTAGGTAGTTAGACACACCAAGCTCAGCCACTTACAAGCCAAGTGACCTTGGGAAAGTCATTTCCTTTCTCCAAAATGAATTATCTTTTGTAAAAACAATAGCTATTATTTATTGTTTTTGCTATATGCTAGTCACTGTTTGAAACACTTTATATACATTCATTCATATCACCATTATAGCAAGTTTGTGAAACATGTACAACTATTTTCTCCTTTTATAGGTGAAGATGCTGAGGCACAAAAAGTCTAAGTAACTTTCTCAAAATTCCACAGCTAGTAAGAGCTGGATCCAAGATTTAAATGCAGGCAGTCTGGTTCCAGAATCCTTGCTCTTTTTTATTCTGCTGTGTTGCCTGCCTGTGAGGTCAGGATAACCACACTCTCCTCATAGGGTGATAGAGAGAGCTAGAAATAACAAATATAGGAAAAGAACCTAGTGGGCGGTGGAACATAACAGATGATAGCTATTATCACTATGGGGCTTAGAGATCTATAGGGACCACAGTTCTCCACTGTCCAACCTATTCCTGACCCCTGTCCCCTCCTCAAACGCCCAAGGGGTCCTTTTGCCTTTCCCTGAGGCTGCCCTGTGCTGCGCATCTGTACAGGATAAAGGCAGGATATAGAGGAAAATGACACAAAGAGAGAGGGATTCAGTCCAGCCACAGCTGGTGGGAGATTTCCTAGCAACCTCTGCTCCTAACCAAGCACTGCCACTAGACTCGCCTCCCCACTGAACAGGTGGGGAAGCAGGCTCAGTGAGGAAGAGGGGGCTTCTCAGAGAGCAGCATGCAGTCGGAGGCAGGGCTGAGAACAGAAGCAGATCTGACACCCCAACTCCCATGCTGCCTTGCCAGGTTCTGGTGCTGCGACAAAAGCTCACTTAGGATATCTGGTGGGGGTGCCAGGGACACATGTTTGGAAGTCCACAAACTGCTGAGGGTGGCAGTCACCTTACACAGAGTCCATGGCTCGCCACCCGACCCACATGTAGACTCTTTAGGAGGCCTGGGGCTGGACTGTCTCCCCAGAACCCACGTGAGGGCACGTGGTTGGAGTACCTCGGGGGCCTGCAGGCTATAGCTGGAGCACCGGGGAAGGCCCTTGACTCTGTCCTACTATGGAGCGGAGCCCTATTTTATTTGACTTCTAATAGGGGCTTCCCTCATCCAGCCAGGGGCTCAGGGGAGGTGGAGACTCCTAGGCCAAGGGTTGTAAGGAAGTGGTGTGAGGGGTACCGCCTTCGGCATCCTTGAGAAGGAAACCATGAGGCTAGGTGGGCACTGAGTTCAGTGAAGGGGTCGGACGCTCCATAGTAGCCAGCTACATTGGGCCTCAGGTTGGAATTGATCTAGGTTCATGTTTCTCCAAAGAGTAGCCCCAGACCACCTGTATCACAAGCACCTGGGCACTTGGTAAAGGCATAGATTCATGGGCTCCACCCCTCACTAAACCCAAATCTTTGAGGTCGTCTAGAAATTTGCATTTTAAGTCAGCTGACTAAGCAACCGATGAGCTTACGAGTTGGAAAACCTACATGAGGGTGTTTGGGCATAGGTAGGGACCTCGGCAATCTTCTTGCCAAGAGATCAAGGCCTGCCAGCAACCCGAACCCTGTTGCTGGGGTGCTAGGCATGTGGGGAGGAATGCTGAAGATGGAGATTGAAAAAAACTTACACCGAGTAACAGCTGCTACCACCAGTCTGGGCTGTCCTGTACCCAGCCCCACGCTAAGCACCATACCCACACTCCTGTAATCCCAGCAGCAACATGAGGCGAGCTATGGCCCTCTCTGCTTTACCAATGTAGAAGCCAAATCAGAGACCATCACCCCGGTTAGGACTGTAACAACAAGAGCAATGCTCTTATCCCTCGGCCGGTCAGCCTCCACTGCAGGCCCTATCCATGACACATAAATTTTTGGAGGCTTTCTAGTGTCAGAATCCAGTCTGAAAGCTTTTGTGTAACAGCCGCATGAAGCAGGTATGTTATCCACCTTTTACAAAAGCATAAACTGAGGTCTATTAGCTCAGGTCGGTAACATCCAAGATTTATCCAGTCACCTGCGTCCCCTATGTAATTATGGAGGTGGGGGCAAGAGATGTCGAAGATAGATAGGATTCCAGTTTCAGCTACATGTCTATTTTTTATTCAATATATTAAATATATTAATCAGAAAAGTCACATACTATAAATCCAGGAAAATACACAAATATAAATGTCAGAATCTGTCATTTGCCTTCCTCTTAGAGTGAGTTTATGTACATGTGGAAGGAGGTGGGAAGAGAGAGCCAGGAGGAGGCTGGGAAAGGTTTGCCCGGGCTGGTGGGGCCTGTCCCTCCTTCCCAACACCACCCCCACCTCAACCTCTTCCTTCCTGTATTTACAGCAGAATTTGGCTTATTTACAGCACGGCAGTGTGTGTTAAAAACAGTTTATCTTACAAAAACATGAAGGCCAGGGCCAGGATGGGGGGTAAGACAAAGAGTAGGAGTCCTCTCCATAAATGCATCCCTCTCCCTCAGGGCATGACCTCCGAGAGCAAACAGGGAGGCTGCCCAGCCTGTAGCTCCAGCCCAGGTGTGGGGGGTTGCTCCGGGGGTCTGAGGACCATGGGATCAAGGCACGTGGGGTGGCATAGGAACGTGCACACACAGTGCACAGGTGTTCCCAGGCTGGGGTCAGAAGGGCAGCGTCTCCATAAAGATCTTGTCGACGATGGGCGGAGGGGGCACCAAGTCCTCCAGCTTGAGGTAGAAGATACGCTGCAGGCCCTGGGTGCACAGGGTTCGCAGCTCAGGCAGCTTGCCTAGCAGGCGTGACAGGCAGCTGGCTGGCTGGGGCTCGCCCGCCAGGGCCGAGACGTGATCCTTCAGGCAGCTGGCAATGCGGTTCTGCAGCTCTTCCACCCGCTGTGGTTCCTGCAGCCCGTGGCGGTCTGTGAGGAAGGAACAGGATTAGCCACCCATCTGAGGACTGGACCCCTTGAAGACCCAGCCTGCCCCAGGCCTGCAAAACTGCTGCCACTGGCCGACCTTCACACTCTGCTGGCACTTTGCAAAAGCATGTTCACACATATGAGCCCATTTTTAAGGCCCCACAAAGGTCTAGGAAGGCAGTAATGCTCATTATCCTCATGTTCCCAGTGAGAAACTGAGGCCCAGAGAAGTTAAATGACTTGCCCAAGGTCACAAAAAGGAAAACCCAAGCCAGGTTTTCTGACCAGTGTTTTGTTTCTAGACTGTTCTGAGAAGCCCTGGAGTTGAGCAGCAAGCAGAACCGTAGAAGCCACCTCCAGAGAAAGCTGGTTCCAAAACCCACAACTCCTTTAACCCAGAGAGCCCTAGAATCTGTCCTATATAGCTGGGTCCCTGTGAAGTTTAAGTAAAAATAGGATGAGGGCAGATTCCCGTGCTTTAAGAAGTAAAATTGAGAGAATCTCCACATTTAGTACCTAAAACCCATCCTGCATGATTATATTTACATAGAGCACATAGCAGGAACGGGTAACCTGTGCTGTCAGAAGTCAGGGTGGCAGTTACCTTTAGGGGAGCCGATGACTAGAAGGGGCACAAGGAGGGCTCCTGGGGGACTGGTCATATCTGCATCTCGATCTAGGTGCTGGTTACGTGAGTGTGCTTAGTTTGTGAAAATTTACTATTTATGCACTTGGCTGTATGCAACATAATTCAGTAAGACTTTAAAAAAAAAAAAA